CCACCACTACAGGTTTTAGTAGGGATAAATAACTCACAGAGGTTCACTTAGTATGAGTCTACCATTTCCAGATAAGGAACCTAGGCCTTGTACAGATTCACAAGTGAACATGAAAAGTCAATTGATAAATTAATCAGGTCTGCTTTGTAGTGGTCTACATGGTGGTCAGTCCTGCTCAGGTCTGCTTTGTAGTGGTCTCCATCAATGATTCTCCTGCCTCAGCCTCCTGAGAGCTGGGATTACAACCCTACACCACCACACCCAGCTATAAATTGAACTTCAATGGGTAGGAACACAAAACTTATGAGCACATAATAAATCCTCAATTACAAAGTGGAACAGGTACTATGAAGTTGAAAATCTCTTTAATTAACAGAATTGTACAGATGACCCTTTTTCATTTAATACTCTCCACTTTTGAAAATATGAAAACAGTGATATCAGCAGGATTCAAGGCATCAGAAGTATGGGGCCTTGGGCATGACTGGGCCTGTCTTCTCATTTGCTCATGAAAAAACTGTGCAGAACTGGCTGAAATAACCAAGATTCCCACTGTCCCAATCACCAGACCCCTTCAGAACTGCCTGCTGCTCTCAGCCATTCACAACTCCACAGCACATCACATTTATAATGTTCTTTTCATTCTCTCAATGGATCCTCATATCAAGTGTGTGATACAGTTGTTGAAATTATTTTAATTCAGCATTAATAGGGAAAATAGGGGAAAAGAGATGTGAAGAGGTTTGTCCAAATGATTTATTCTGGAAGCACTCTCCTACAGATAGCTAGTGAACCCAAGCTGGGCTATCTGGTGACGTCCTTGGTTGGTTCTCAAGGAGTATCTGAGTAATCTGGATACTTGAGTCAGTATCACATTGATTAGATATTTTCTGGAAATGTCTTAAACACTTCCAATGTAGTTATGAATTATTAGAGAGGGAAATCTCAACATAGCAAACATGTACATCTCTCTAGGCATTACTAAGCTGTGCGTTCACTGGAGCCATGGTATCATCAGAAATGCAGAAGATGCTCCAAATACCTCAGACATGTCAAAATAAAAAATAATTGAGTTTCCAGGAAAGCAGAAACTTAAGGGTTATGAAATTAAGCAGTAAACAGAATCAGAAATTTTGGCAAATTTCAGAAACCAGAGGCTGTGAAGAAGGTCCAAACGAATCATCATTATTGTCTTAGTTCATCAGATGCTGCTATCAAAGTTATTTGAGACTGGTATTGTCCTCGAGACAAGGATTTCCAAGGTGTTGCTACAGCAACAGAAACACAGAAATGACACCCATGATTTGAAGGAAGATTTATTTAATGTTGGATGAGCACTGACATAGAATCCATTGTCTCTCAAAATGTCAGGTCTTGAAGACCAAGGCAGGGAAGTTTTCATGGGGTTGCAAAAGCAAGGTTCGGAGGTATAGTAAGTACTTGGCTAGCTTCAATTGGTTCATACAATATACATCACAGTGACCAGCTATGCATCACAGTGACCAGCTGTTTCTAGGAGACAGTAGCAACAGGAACTGTAACAGGAACTATTACCTGAACATTACCTATTATCTGCCTTGGGGGCATTTTCTGCTACATTTCCCTCTTCTTTTAGCATTCCTGGAACACCTTTGCTGGGTATGTTACATGTGATCTTTTGAGAAAAGGCCCAACTATAAGCAGTAACCTCAGCGGTCCTAGGATGAACCCTAGCTAAGGTCCCTGAGACTGAAAGTTTTCCCAAGAGGAGTTTGTTGTTTGTCTCCCTTAGAATAAGGGGAATGTCTTACTGGTTATTTTCTATTTTCTTGGGGACATAGAGCTAAAGCAAAATACAATCTGAAATGGAAGCAAGGACTGGTGTAAGCAGCCAGAAAAAGCACAAAATCAAGGGGAGTAATGCATTGAAGTATGGAGCAATCCTGTGAACAGTGTCTTTAGGCTTCAGCCATGCATGGACTGGTCAGCATCCAGAGTGACCAGAGAAGGGTTGTGAGTGCACTGTGTCTTTAGAGTGTGCTTCAGAGGATCTATCTGGTCCAGGTAAACTCTCCAGATATTCAGCAGAACTCTGGAATGCTGGATCTAAAGCTGGATTTCTGAAACTTGTAGAGGTAGTTAATATGTACCAGGATTATATGTGTGCAAGGGTGTCTACCAGTATAACTGGTCTTTTAGCTAAATTTTTATGAAGCTAGTTACAAACTTTTTTTTTAACTTTTTAGAGCTTCTTGACCTGTATGCTGTACATAATTTTTATTTAAACAAATTTTGAGTTGCTTCTGCTAAAATGCAGGTCATTGTAGCTGCCAAAGGTCAAGGGTAGACCATATTCAGGGATGATTTTTTACAGCGGAACCCTACAAATTTTGTCTTCTCAGCATGGGTAGGGAATTCTTAGGCCAGCCTGAGTAGATGCAGATGAGCACCAAGTCTCTCTATGTATCTTTAAATGAGGGGAGGTCAGGGCCTTTGACACAGACGCTAAAGCCTAAGGTGGCTGCAGGAGTACAGGTGCCAGTGCCATGCTTTGAGCTTGTAGAACATATGATGGGGACTAGTCTGGCTTGAATAAAGGTTTCCCTGGATGGGGTTGGTGTTTTAGTCAATCAGACCCCAGAGGGAGTGTAGGCCTCTGGATTGGAGTATTTGAGCACAGATTTGATGTTGTTGGTGGCAGATTTCCATACAGCAGCAAGAAGCAGTAGCAGTAGGGATTTGGCAAAAATAACTTTGTCAAAGGTGACCACAGCATATCTAGCCTGTCAGAGTGCATATAACAGATCTACTTCAATCTGTTAACAGGGTGCACTCAGCATCTGTCAGAGGTCCATTTTTTAAGTCTGGTCAAATCAAGAACAGTTCATCAGGGTTGGCAAGATAGCTCAGCAGCACAGTACCTGCCTGGCAAGTGCAAGGTTATGAGTTTGATTCCCAGTACCAAACAAAAAAAAAAAAAAAAAAAAAAAAAAAAAAACCACCCCTAGTGCGCGTACAGGTGCTGGGAGGAACCCCAACTTCAGGAACACCAGTGAGCCACTGCTACACCTCCCTGATCAGCGTGCTAGGCAGGCAGAGTGTTGGGGCCACAGTGGCCACTCCTTGCACCCCTAGTGAGCCTGTGAGCAGTGGGCTGAGCCCTGGACATTTTCAGGAAACCCAGTGAGCCTGTCCCAGGCCTTCCCAACCAGTGTATGAGGCAGGCAGAGACCCAGATACCCTCTGGGGCCTTGGTGACCACTCCCTGCACCACTAGTGTAACTGTGGGTGCCCAGTTGAACACTGGACATCTTAAGGAACCTCAGTGAGACACCCACACATATCCCAGACCAGTGTGCAAGGCAGGCACAGCCCACAGCACCCTCTGAAACCTCAGTGGCAACTCCGTGCACTCTGAGATCCCTGTGGGAGCTGGGCTGAACAATGGACATCTTCAGGAACCCTGGTGAG